GTTTGATGAAAATCTAGTACCCTCCCTGAGGAAGAGAGAAACACCTTATGAAGGGCAGCAAGTGTCTGATGAGTTAACGTACATTTTTCCTAGTATCTGGAATAGAATTGGACAGAAACCAAAGTATGTATCATAGAATTGTATCAACTTTATCAAATATAATCATTCTGTGGTAGTGCTCTGGTATCTCTTCCCAACATGTTTACAGAGACCACTGGGTTGAGTTCCAACTTTTTTATACCTTGAGGCATGTTTTGCCAAAGAAATAATGGTATAAAATGGGGGTGGATTTCCCAGCCAGCTGACCAAAACATCATGTATTGAATTCTGTTATTAGTTTGATAGTCCCCTATCTTTGTAAATAAAGTAATTCTACAAATACGAATGGAATTAGAATATTTTAAGCCTCAATTACAATATAAATAATTAGGGTTGGGATTTTTGTCTTTGACTTTTCTTTTTTTCTCCCCCCAGTATGTTACATATTTATCCAGTTACAAGAATAGTTTCTAGTATAAACAAATTATTGTCTTGTCCACTTTTTTTTTTTTTTTTTTTTCCCCCTTTGAGACAGGGTCTGACTCTGTCACCCAGGCTGGAGTGCAGTGGCACAATCTCAGCTCACCGCAACCTCCGCCTCCTGGGTTCAAATGATTTTCCTCTCTCAGTCTCCCAAGTAGCCAGGCAGCGGCTGCAGTGAACCAAGACACACCACTGCACTCCAGCCTTGGTGATGGAGTCAGACCCTGACAAGAAAGAAAGAAAATAAAGTGAAAAGAGACTATTCTTCACGTTGGTAAGGAAGCCTGGCAGGAAGTAGTTTTCCCAGGGCTGTGTGGCTGATCGACTTTTCTCCTACGTTCTTCAAAAAGCTGAGCACTGCCTTCCATAAGGATGCTAGGAAGCTATGCCGGCAGTAGCTCTAAAACACGAAACGATGCTACGTTATGCCTTGCCTTTGAGATGTGGTCTTCCAGAGTGTATTTCATGGATTTCATCCATGTGATTTTATTCTTCACATGGAAGATAGTGAAAGAGTTTAATTTGAGCTCGCCTATTCTTGACACCAGAAATTTCATTTTTGCCATGCCTAAGGACTTCCATTTTTGCTTCAGTTCTATTATTTCTAGTATCATCATTTACATTTTTCTGTTCTCTACTCATTTTATCATTTGTATGAAAAAGCAAATGACCGTATTAATACTGCTGTTTGGATGAAGGTGCCAGCATGCCTGCCCTTGTGAACTGTTGCAAATGTTATAAGTCATCGATTAGTAAGAAAAATTGGGAGGTTGCACAAGGACAGTTGCGGGAAATGACTTCCCTGTTTTTAGCATTGTTGGCTGACAGGAGAAATAGGAACCTAAGAAAGTATGCAGCCTTTTGATGTTTTCCACATTTTTTTAAATTACTAAACTCTTTTTATTGTATTTATTTTGAGATGGAGTCTCTCTCTGTCACCCACACCAGAATGCAGTGGTACAATCTCATCTCACTGCAACCTCCACCTCTTGGGTTCAAGTGATTCTCCTGCCTCAACCCCCCGAGTAGCTGGGATTACAGGCACCTGCCTCCATGTCCTTCTAATTTTTGTATTTTTAGTAGAGATGGGGTTTCACCATGTTGGCCAGGCTGGTCTCAAACTCCTAACCTCAGGTGACGCGCCCACCTCGACCTCCGAAAGTGCTGAGATTATAGGTGTGAGCCACCACACCCGGCCTAAAATTACTAAACTCTTGGAAGAAAAACCTGGAGTTAAGCCATACCTTCCAATCGTCTTTAGTTTCTTTTTCTTATAGTTAATCTTAGTCTTTTCTTTTTCTTTTTTCTTTATTCCTTTTTTTTTTTTTTTTAAAGACAGTCTGTCTTGCTCTGTCGCCCAGGCTGGAGTGCAATAGTGTGTTCTCACCTCATTGCAATCTCCACCTCCCAGGTTCAAGCGATTCTCTGCCTCAGCTCAAGCTGGGATTAGAGGTGTCTGCCACCACGCCCGGCTAATTTTTTGTATTTTTAGTAGAGACGGGGTTTTGCCATGTTGGGCAGGATGATCTCAAACTCTTCTCTTGACCTCAGGTGATCCACCCACCTCGGCCTCCCAGAGTGGTGGGATTATAGACATGAGCCACCACGCCCGGCAAGTATCTTCTGTTTAGAAAAACATGGTAATGCCACATATCTAAAACTAGAACAAGAATAACATCAGTGGAAGAGAATGGAAACAAGTAATCCCAGACATAAATACAAATATAATATTGAGGAAGCCAACATTTCAAATTGGTGTCGGGGTCAAGTACTATTTAGTCAGTGGTGCTGGGAAATCAGTTTCCAAATGGGACAACTATTGGGAGAATAGTCTCACTCAACATGAAACTGAGAGAATAAATGTTTAAAACCTCAAAAGAACTAAATACAGGTATATTATTTAGCCTTCAGTGTGGAAGAGGACATCCAAGCATGAAGGTATAAACCATTTACTATTTTTTCCCCCCATTTTAGACGGAGTCTTGCTCTGTCGCCCAGGCTGGAGTGCAGTGGTGCAATCTCGGCTCACTGCAAGCTCCGCCTCCCAGGTTCGCGCCATTCTTCTGCCTCAGCCTCCCTAGTAGGACTACAGGTGCCCACCACCATGTCCGGCTTTTTTTTTTTTTTTTTTTTTTGGAATTTTAGTAGAGACGGGGTTTCACCATGTAAGCCAGGTTGGTCTCTATCTGCTGCCCTGGTGATCCACCCGCCTCAGCCTCCCAAAGTGCTGGGATTACAGGCGTGAGCCACCGCGCCCAGCCAAACCATTTACATTTTAAAAACTTTGGCCACATAAGAGTGAAATGGGCCAGGTGCAGTGGCTCACGAGGGTAATCCCAGCACTTTGGAAGACTGAGGCGGGTGGATCACCTGAGGTCAGGAGTTTGAGACCAGCCTGGCCAACATGGCGAAACCCCTTCTCTACTAAAAATACAAAAATTAACTGGGTCTGGTGGCAGGTGCCTGTAATCCCAGCTACTCAGGAGGCTGAGGCAGGAGAATCGCTTGAACCCAGGAGGCAGAGGTTGCAGTGAGCTGAAATCACACCACTGCACTCCAGCCTGGATGACAGAGCTAGACTCCATCCCCCCCCCCAAAAAAAACAAAACAAAAAACAGTGAAGTGTACTCAAAACCTGTAAACAAAATTGAAAGACTGGTAAAGAACTGGGAAAATACGTTTTGTACATATGATATATAAACTTCAAATGATGGGGGATAGAGTCGAAGTTTTTTTTAAGAGGGAGCCTCACTCTTATTCCTGCTGGAGTGCATTGGTGTGATCTCAGCTCACTGCAACCTCCACCTCCCAGTTCAAGGGATTACCTCAGCTTCCCGAGTGGCTGGGATTACAGGCGTGCACCACCAGGCCTGGCTAATTTTTGTATTTTTTTGTAAAGACGGGGTTTCACCATGTTGGTCAGACTGGTCTTGAACTCCTGACCTCGTGATCTGCCCACCTCGGCCTCCCAAAGTTCTGGGATTACAGGCGTGAGTCACCATGCCTGGCCAGAGCTGAAGTTTTTAAATAGTGGGGTTGGGGGGTGTAAATCAGAAATTTTTAGAAAAGTACAGGTAATCAACAACACAAAGCAAATGACTCAAAGCAGTTTGAGTAGTCAGGAGATAAATTTGTGTTAAAACAGTATTCCTTTTCTTACCTAGCATATTGGCAAAGATGAAGAAAAACAGCAAATTTTTAACAGATTCAAGAAAGATTGGCATTTCTTTTTTTTTTTTCTTTTGAGACAGAATCTCGCCCTGTTGCCCAGGCTGGCGTGCAATGGCGTGATCTCGGCTCACCGCAGCCTCCGCCTCCGGGGTTCAAGCAGTTCTCCTGCCTCAGCCTCCCGAGTAGCTGGGACTACAGGCGCACGAGATTGGCACTTTTTAATTCACTGTTGATGGAAATGTATAAGTTTAAAAAACCTTCCTCTGCAATTTTTTTTTTTCTTTTTGTTTTGTTTGGTTTGAGACAGAGTCTTGCTCTGTCACCCAGGCCAGAGTGCAGTGGCGCGATATCGGCTCACTGCAGCCTAAACCTCCAGAATTCAAGTGATTCTCCTGCCTCCGCCTCCCCGAGTAGCTGTGATTACTGGCATCTGCCACCACAACCAGCTAGTTTTTTGTATTTTTAGTTGAGATAGGGTTTCGTCATGTTGGCCAGGCTGGTCTCAAACTCCTGACCTCAAGTGATCCACCTGTCTCAGCCTCCCAAAGTGCTGGAATTACAGACATGAGCTGCTGCTCCCAGCCCCTCTGGAGTATCTTGATAGTATGTGGGTTTTTTGTTTTTCTCTCTTTTTTTTAAGACGGAGTTTCGCTCTTGTTCCCCAGGCTGGAGCGCGATGGCACAGTCTCGGCTCACTGCAACCTCCGCCTTCCAAGTAGCTGTGATTACAGGCGCTTGCCACCACGCCCAGCTAATTTTTTGTATTTTTAGTAGAGGTGGGGTTTCACCATGTTTTCCAGACTTGTCTCGAACTCCTGACCTCAGGTGATCTGCCCGCCATGGCCTCCCAAAGTGCTGGGATTAGCGGCATGAGCCACCGCACCTGGCCTTTCTTTTTTCTTTTTAAGTATTAAAGATGTGCATACTCGGGCATGCGCAGTTTCTGTGGGAAAACATGTTCCTTAACTAAAAGGCAGCACACTTGCAACAAATGCTTTTTCCCTCAAACAGGGACACTTGAGATGGGAAGAAGGGCAGAGCTGAGGACAGGTCTGATCCTGTTCAACCTTACTAGGAACCTGTTTTCTGCACTTCCACAGCTCAGACAAGAACAGAACCTCTTCTGCTTGGGGGTGGGGCAGGGCTGTCTTGTCCAGAATGGCCTCATTCCTGGATTAGGAAGTATCCCTAAGTAGCAAAGTGTCTCAGATGTTTATAAAGTGACCGCTTGTGTAGTGCTCAGGGCATTGTTGCTTCTGTAAAGTGCGTATCATTTGATCTCATGCTGTAAATGATTCTGTCTTCAGGGCGCAAACCAGAAGAAGAGGGTGTGGAAGATAACGGGCTGGAGGAAAACTCTGGGGATGGACAGGTATGTGCAGCCTTGCGAGTGAGTAGCGTGGTAAATGGACCAGTGGCAGTCACATGATGGTTCGGTCTGGTTGTGTCACAGGAGGATGTTGAGACCAGTCTGGAGAACTTGCAGGACATCGACATCATGGATATCAGTGTATTGGATGAGGCAGAGATTGATAATGGAAGCGTTGCAGATTGTGTCGAAGACGATGATGCTGATAACCTCCAGGAGTCCCTGTCGGATAGTAGAGAGCTAGTCGAGGGGGAAATGAAAGAGCTTCCGGAGCAGCTTCAGGAACATGCTGTAGGTAACCGGCAGTGTCTCTAGAATGTACCCTGAATGTATCAGTTCCACAATTAAAAAGAGATCATCCATTTCATATTGGGAAGTAAGTTGTTCTGTAATGCCAGTTCAGTAGAATAAGGGTCAGTTGGTTCAGATGATTCTGAACCAATTTGTTTTGTTGAAAAGTAATGTCTTATAACATACACACGTACTTGCCATCCATTTACGGCATACAGTATGAGACGTTTTGAGGACAACCATTCATACCCTTCCTGTTGCAGGACTTGATCTGTGGTGTAGTGGCCTAGGTACCTTGAAAACACTGAAATAGGAAGAGGTTAGAAGTTGGTGTTTTCCTGTTAAGAAGCAGTTGTTGAGCTGGGTGCCTTGATGCACTCCTGTAATTCAGTGACTCAGAAAACTGAGGCAGAAGGAGCAGCCCAGGGGTTCAAGGCTGTACTAAGCTATGATTGCGCAGTTGAACTCCAGCCTGGGTGGCAGAGTCTGACAGAGGCCTATTTCTTGCTTTAAAAAAAAAAAAAAAGAACAACAACCACCAATTGATACCTATCTTAAGAGTTAACCTCTAATATTAACCTTCATATTGTTTTTAAACCTAAGCTTTTTTCCTGTTAAAAACATATCAGATGGATAGTAAGATTATAGTGGGTAATATTTCCTGAATACTACCTGCCAGGCATTGGCATTATGCTCTTTCTTTCTCTCTTTCTCTCTCTCTCTCTCTTTTTCTCTTTTTCTCTTTCTTTCTTTCTTTTTTTTTGACAGAGTTTTGCTCTTGTTGCCCAGGGTGGAGTACAGTGGCGCGATCTCCGCTCACTGCAACTTCCGCTCCCTGGGTTCAAGTGATTCACCTCCCGAGTGAGTAGCTGGGATTATAGGCGCCCACCACCAAGCCCGACTAATTTTCTTGTGTTTTTAGTAGAGACTGTTTTCACCATGTTGGCCAGGCTGGTCTTGAACTCTTGACCTCAGGTGATCCGCCTGCCTCAGACTCCCAAAGTGCTGAGATTACAGGCGTGAGCCACCAAGCCCAGCTTGTGCCCTTTAATTCTTCTAATAGCAACATGAGGTACTGTTGTCCCCATTTTCAGTTGAGGAAATTGGGAAGGCAAGGACTAAAAAATCTCCAGATGACACACAGCTCGTAACAGAATAAGAACTAAGATCAGGCTAATTCCAGAGGCCATGTACTTAACTCACGTATGACATTGTCTTGGTGCCATTATTGATACTAATTTCATTTACCTGATGATTAATATTTGTCAGACAGAAAAGGTGATACATATGAGAAGCCGTGGAGTGTCTCTGTGGAGCCCTTTATGTGTTGACTGGTGGGGGGCCCTGTTCTTGTCCTGGTCCTCAGGTCTTCCACAGTGAGCACTTCTCAAGCAGTCTTGGGGGACGGAAGCCTTGTTGTATGCCAGTCAGTCCACTTCTGCATTTCCTCAGAATGCTTTTACATTTCCTCTTGGAACTGATTCCGAGTATCCTTAGAGGTAGCAGATTGTCATATTTAAATGGAGGATTTGAGTCTGAGAAGTGGCTGACAGTTATTCTGATACAAATAGGGTGTGCAATTTTTGGTGAGTCCCATTCACCAGCTTCTAAAAAGGAGTAGCAGAAACACTTGCACAGCAGCAGGAGTTACTCACTCTTCCTAAATGGCTGCATCTTAAGGCTGGTTTTTTCCCTCCTAAGTAGAAAATAATACATTTTGTAACAAAAGCTGGAAACATCCTAAATGCCTGGAAGCAGTATAGTTTTAAGAGTTGAGGCCAGGTGCAGTGGCTTGGCTGGGCACGGTGGCTCACGCCTGTAATCCCAGCTACTCAGGAGGCTGAGGCAGGAGAATCATTTGAACCAGGGGGGCGGAGGTTGAAGTGAGCCAGGATTATGCCACTGTATTCCAGCCTGGGTGGCAGAGTGAGACTGTTTAAAAAAAAAAAAAAAAAAAGTTCAGATGAGATAGATTTTTGGAGATGGATCAATTTCTGTGTGTCCCTGGACAAACTCCTTAACCTCTGCTCCTCCCTTGCAAGAGGTTTTCAGAGGATTCAGTGGATGGATGTTTATCATACACTTAAAGCAGAAGTCGTCAAGTTGGCTGTCACTTGGGGTTTTTTTGTTTTGTTTTGTTTTTGTTTTGGGTTTTGTTTTTGTTTTGCTTTTTTTCAAGACAGGGTCTCATCGTGTAAATGAAGTTTTCTGAGAACACAACCACACCTATTGATACTGTTGTTTATGGCTGCTTTTGTGCTTTAGTGTCAGAGAGTCCTGACTCATCTGTTCTGTAGTTCCTGAAGAATTTACGATGCAGCTCCAACAAACTGTTTCCCTGGCCTAGTGCAATGCCCAGCGTCTAAAAAGCACCATATAGTTAATTATGAAATGTACCACCACAAATAGAGTTCTTACTGCTGTGTAACCATCAAAATGAACTAAGCACATCTGTGTGAACTCAAAGATCTCCAAAAGAGAAGTGATGCTTGGGTAGGGTTCAGAATGATGTGCTGGCCCTCGTGCAGATGTCAGAGGGGAGATGGTCTTTGGCGCTTAAACACATGTGTAGCATATGTGATGACAGCTGCATGGCAGGAAGAAAAGAGTAGTGGAGAGTGGTTTTCAGTGAATGGGCTTTTGTACCTTTTGCGTCTTTTGATCATGTGTATGTCTTTCCTAGTGAAGTAAAAGTGATAAAAATAACATGCTGATTATAAAATATCTGAAAAAGTCTCCCCCTAAGTATATCTCAAACTTCATGGCTTTAGAGCAGATGGCCAAAATTGGTTTCAGTCACAAATTACCTGAACCCCCTTTCTTTGTTTGGGGAATCCTTTGCCTTATTGGGCAGAGCCTGCTTCTTAGAGTAAAAGCTATTCTTCCCCTGCAAGTAGGGCATAGGACATTGCCAGTCCCGAGCTCCTATCCCCACCCTCATGCTGAGAGATACTGTTCCACTGAGGGAGGTACCTACCCCAGGGGCAGCAGGCCCCACATCATCAGCATCCAGGTTGGGGGAGCAGCGGTGGCTGAAGGCTCCACTTCAGCAGGACTCTAGCCATTGCTCCTGGAAGAACAGCCCTCACCCTGTGCTCAGATCCACTTAGAGAGAGTATGCACTCATTTTCATCTCTTTTCTGCTTGATTTAGACTTTTTTCTTTGGTTTGCATCTTTAAAACCTACACAGATACCATTAGTATTAGTAGATTTCATAGTCTATGTGCAGGTGGACATTTACATACAACATTTCTTTCAGTTTAGCTACATTTATACTATAATGGTGTTTTGATTTCTGCCCTGGGTTTAAAATTTTGTTGTAAATTATTTTCATAGCTGTTCACTTTTCATTGTACAGATGTACCATTATGTTACATTATTGCTGGTGTGATGAACTGTATTTTCTCCATTTATTTTACAGATAGAGGACAAAGAAACTATAAACAATTTAGATACTTCATCATCTGACTTCACTATATTACAGGTAAACTGTTGTATGTCTCAGTAATTTTAGAATGAAAGGTCAGACCACAATTTCTGGAAACCATTTCAGACACCATACGCCAGTTCCGGCTAATCATCACCACAAAGGTTGTTTCCTTTGTCAGGATTGTTAGCGGGTGTTTGCTTTCTGCTTTCCTCCAAATATAATGTACACATTGCCAGGGACTTAACTCTAGGCTTCGACGAGTGGCCTCCAAGCGCTGTGGCTTACCAGCAGTGATAAAAGACATGTTTTGTGGCATTCTTGTTAATTTCATTGCTGGAGGTGAAAGGCAGCCTGTCTCATCTACTCTGGGTGGCATCCCCTGCAGAAAGACAATCTGATGAGGCAGCAAGAGGGAATGGCTGCCTGGGAAAGATGAATAGGGCCCAGATGGGGATTGAGGGTTGACAGAGCCCTGCTGGGGAAGGTGGGGTCTCAGGGGTTCTGGTCTTGTCTTTGGGAAGTTGTTGTTTTTCTGAAATTGCCCAGATTTCTTTTAATGACTGTATCATCCTACCTGTTTCAATAGCATCTATGTAAATATTAAATCTTAGATGAGAACAGATGAGTTGAGAATTTCTAGGTATGATTTTTATATTTGTGGGTCTTGAGTTTCTTTTTTTCCCCAGCCTACATAGATATAAGTTGTTAGAACACACTTAGGTAGCTGTCTAATTCTTAGGAGAACTTTTTGTGGAGAAATGAAGATTGAGCTAGGTTTTGCCTGGCCTTTTTTTCCCCCCGCCTCTTCTTTTTAAATGTCATCTATGCTATCGTAATTAGAAATCACCTTTTGGAAAAGATCTCCATTTGCTTCTGCCAAGCAAGGGCAAGGGAGATATTGGAAAGCCAGAGCTCCAGCCTTGAGGAGGGCGCAAATCTCAAGAAAACGTGGTGAAACCCAGTTCGCTTTTAGAGCTGCTGTCTCTCCACCTGCGAATTGACACAGCCATTCCCGACTCAGAAAGGAGAAGAGGAGCCAGATCTTATCACTTTTTCCCGTGGGTCTTTCTTGGTCACAGTCTCCTATGTTAAAATGGGAAACCTACAGCTCTCCTAAACAAATAGGAATGTATTTGCTTCTCTTTAGAGAAAATGAGAGAGAATTATTCTGCCAACATTGATCATTTGCTTCAGTCGTATGGTCTGAATTCCCAGCATGGGGTAGGGTACGTGGGGAAAATACTGATTAAAAATACGTGAAACCATGAGGAAAGTGTACAGTTTCATAGAGCATCCTGGAATGGCAGGGCAGTTCCCAGGGGAAGTTCTAAATCAGTCACACATATTTATTGGGTATATGTGAAGCCCCTGTGATGTGTCAGGTGTGGCATTAACTACCAGCATTACACAGATGAATGAGAACGAAGGATGCTCCCCATGCTCGTAGGGCCTGGCCTGATGGTTAACAGTGCAGACTCACACTCATATGGCCTTTGCTCAGAGTCTGTCTCTGCTTCCCACCTGCTGTGTGTCCTTGGGCAAGTTAGTCTGTCTGGTCACAGTCTATTACTCTGTAAAAAGAAGGGTGCTACCATTAGGACCGACCTCCTGTGACCAATGACGAGTCTGTGTGTATGTAAGGTGCTTATATTTGTGCCTGGAACCTAATCAGTGCTCATCAGTGTTAACTGGAATTCCAGAGGAGTGTACCTTGTGTGCACAGGAAACATAAAGGCTGGGGGATCACATCATGTGGGAAAAATTCCTTTGCTTAGTGGGCATAGCTGGAGTTGGGTTAGAGGGAAATAGGGAAAGCCTTCCTGAAAGGAGATGCCACTGAGCTGGATACTGAGGGATGTGGATGACTTGGCTGGATGGGGCAGGGGAGGACTGGACCTGTCAGGGAGGGAGGTGGCATAGGGATTCATTGGCTGAAGGCTGAAGGCCACAGAGGGACATGTGCTTACTGTGGACACAAGATGCAGAGAGATGGAATGAGGGTAGTACAGCCAGATGCCACAATAGGCAAGGATAGCACCAGCCTGAGTGGGCAGGGCTTCCTGGGAAGAGTCTGAATGACTTCTAGAGCTGGCCTGGTGGCGACATTGATTGGAAGAGGAGATGAAGGAGGAAGGGTATTTACAGAGGTGTTCACGCTGGCACCACCATGCCAAGTAAGAGCAGGAGTCATACCACCTAGGCCCATATTCTCTCAGTCTTTTGAATATCAGAAAGTTATCATAGCTTCATTGAGTGAAAAAGTGATTGTTAATGTGCCATGCATTCCTCTAGATGCTAACAGTAGAAAAATGAAAACACTACTCCTTGAATTTGAGAGTTCAATCTAGAGGGTCAGACACACTTGTGATGAGTGCCTCACCACAAAGTGAGACCAGTGCCAGGCCCCTGGAGAATGAACGGAGGGTGGGCTGAGTGAAGTGGAGCCATTCCTAGAACAAGCAGGTTCTCCACCTCTTGCATTTGTGAGTTTCCCTCCGTGTATTTTTAAATTCCCTCTTTAGTTATTCTGGGTTTTCATTTGAATAAACTGTAGGTGTCATTCATCTGGCACAGTCTTATTTATGTTTTTTCTTGCAGGAAATTGAAGAGCCATCCCTGGAGCCAGGTACTGTTAAATGAGAAACTTACCAGCGGGGGTTTGGAACCATTCTAGTTTTCCACCTTCTCTAATTTGAATTCTTTGATTTTTTAAAAGTTGCCTTCCTATAGTATACATTGTTCTAAAGGTTTACAATCCAAAACCTACCAGGATCATAGAGATTGGAAACCCAGCCATATCACCAGATCTGTGAAAGTGGCTCACTTCTCATTTTACAAAATGTATTGGTGAGATGAAAGTATCTCATGCTTTTTTGAATGTCAACAGCATTGAAGCATACATAGAGTTCCGGATGCCTCTCTTGAGAGCTAATACCTCTGCACCCACAAAACAGATCTTGTGATATTGGGCAGTAGCTTAATTTTGTGGTTTTTAATTGAGGCAGCTCAGGCAGTGGTAGGGAGATACATTTTAAAACATAAATTTGAGACATAACTGGATTCCAGAAGAGGAAGGAGTGTCTTCATGAGAATTCCAAACACTGTTCACTTTCTGGACTGCAAATATCTCAGAGCACGGATGGAAGAGATTCTGGTTTTCATGTTGGACTGTTCTGTTAAAAGAAATTCAAAGAAATTTGGAAATTGAGCTGTTCAGTGAATGGTGATACATTCAGTTAAGCAACTTGGACTTTGGAAGCTAAATTTGGAAGAGTCATATCTAAACGACGACAGAATGAAGACTGTCAAGAATCAGCCAGAAGGTTTTGGGGGTTAAATCTCTGGGATGCTTTTCTCTTCCGTGTAGCGTAGACGCTTACCTAGAGGCGGTCGCAGCGCAGGTAGTGTAACCAGTATAACTTTGTGTACCCGCGGGTTTTCCAATCTCTGTGTAGCTAGCAGTTCTCTTCGTGTTAGTGTGGCAGCCGTGCCAGTTCCACATTTGTGATTGCTTTATTTCCCTGGTAATTAAACCTTGTGCCATTCTATTCCTGTTAAATCCGTAGAAAATGAGAAAATACTCGACATTTTGGGGGAAACTTGTAAATCTGAGCCAGTAAAAGAAGAAAGTTCCGAGCTGGAGCAGCCATTTGCACAGGACACAAGTAGCGTGGGGCCAGACAGAAAGCTTGCGGAGGAAGAGGACCTATTTGACAGCGCCCATCCGGAAGAGGGTGATTTAGATTTGGCCAGCGAGTCAACAGCACACGCTCAGTCGAGCAAGGCAGACAGCCTGTTAGCGGTAGTGAAAAGGGAGCCCGCGGAGCAGCCAGGCGATGGCGAGAGGACGGACTGTGAGCCTGTAGGGCTAGAGCCGGCAGTTGAGCAGAGTAGTGCGGCCTCCGAGCTCGCGGAGGCCTCTAGCGAGGAGCTCGCGGAAGCACCCACGGAAGCCGCAAGCCCAGAAGCCAGAGATAGCAAAGAAGACGGGAGGAAGTTTGATTTTGAAGCTTGTAATGAAGTCCCTCCGGCTCCTAAAGAGTCCTCAACCAGTGAGGGCGCTGATCAGAAAATGAGGTTTGTTTTTTCTCAGTTTTAGACCAGACGCTATCTCCTTTTCATTGGTCATTTAATGACACACATAAGCTGTTTTTTTCTGCAATTGGCCAGCCAGACTGACGAAATTGTAGTTTTGCTTCTAAAGAATGTTTTGTTTCTCTTTGTGTATTTTACACTGATTACATAATCTTTTTTCTTTTCTCAACCTATCATGGTTGTGTTCTTTAATTCTTCCTAATTACCTTTAGCCCAGCAGAATTAATTAACTCCTGTGGGTCTGAAATCTTATGGTTAGGTCAGATTTGCAATACAAGTTTGTCGGGGTATCATTTTTTCAGAGCTAAATTTCGGGTAGGTATGCAACCTCAGCACGAATTTTATGGTTTTGAGTTTGTTTCCTCCATGCTGCTTCCTTGCGGAGTGACATTGTCCTTTGTCTCTAGTTCTCCCGAAGATGACTCGGATACAAAAAGGCTTTCCAAAGAGGAAAAGGGTAGGTCACCTGAGCGACACCAGTCCCTTGGAGCATGTATGGCCTGGGCAGTGGCGGGTATTTGATTGTGGTTCCTGAGACTTTTGTGCAGTCTTTCTCCTCCTCTGCTGTTACCTCTATAGGTCCTGGGTTGCAGGAAGCATACCAGGTCCTAAGAGGCTGATTTGGTGCAGATCCTTGTGTTGGGAGCACATTCATCCTGTAACCTTCGTTAAATTCATTAACTGAGAAATAATTTTACCCTGCCAAATTTTTTCTTAATCAGTGTTCTACAGGAGTGAAAACATGGGATAGATACAAAGCTATAGGTGGAAAGAGAAACAGTGCATTGTTGACACCAAGTTTGGCTGTTTTGCTACATGGCCACTGCACACTGCACTTTCTGTAATTAAGCGATTGCTCACTTTGTTGTTGTTGTTGGTGAGACAGAGTCTCGTTCTGTTGCCCAGGCTGGAGTGCAGTGGCGTGATCTGGGCTCACTGCAACCTCCGACTCCTGGGTTCAAGAGATTCTCCCACCTCAGCCTCCCAAGTAGCTGGGATTATTGGCGCTTGCCACCACACCCAGATAATTTTTTGTATTTTTAGTAGACACGGGGTTTCACCATGTTGGCCAGGCTGGTCTCGAACTCTTGACCTCGTGATTCCGCCACCTTGGCCTCTCAAAGTGCTGGGATTACAGGCGTGAGCCACCACGCCCGGCCCGCAATTGCTAACTTTCTTAGGAAACCTCAGGTGGTCCTGACAGCCCCACTCAGTATTGTGATAGGCCCTGTGGCAGTGCTGCTGGGCCTGGTGTTGCACTAGAGGGTCTTGGTGAGGACAGTGGTCAGGCCCACGGCCCCATGTGACTTTTAGTGCTGCCACTGCCTCAGGAAAAGTGGAAACCATGTCTGGTTTGGAAAGGTTGTCTCTAAGACTCAAGATCTTGTGGGTGTTTGGGTTTTTACTATAACTTTCTTTTGAAATAGGTCGCAGCAGTTGTGGTAGAAATTTCTGGGTTAGTGGACTCTCTTCTACAACCAGAGCTACAGATTTGAAGAATCTTTTCAGCAAATATGGGAAGGTAAGTACCAGAGCTTTTCTGGAGAAGATACTTTGAAACCAGCGTTGGGTGGCCTTTACATGCAGGTCCTCTCCCCTCAGTGAGTTCTTTGAGAGATACTAGGAGCTTATACTTGCTGATGGTTGGGGAGGGTCTCCCCTCCATGGATAGAGGTGAAAGTGATGTGGAAGCTTCCAAAGCCCATATCACTGCTGTATTTCCCCCCTTCTCTCCAAGCTTGTCCCCTTCCCTGTAATGACTTGTGGATCCATTTCTGTGTCCTCAGGACGTCGCACTCACGTGGGCTGCCAGGGTTGGCCGGCAGTGGTGCTGGTCAGCATGTCTGGGAGGCAACAGTGTTCTTAGAACAGAGTTCATGATGCTGGACCTCAGAACAGGGACCCTGGAGTCTGATGATGGGGGTCCTGAGCATGGGTGTGTTGCGTCCGTTGACTGAACCTCACCTCAGCAGCTGGGGGCTCTCAAAGTTGCTGCCTCAGTTCACCGCTGGGGGCAATTCTAGCTGCCTCTTGTCTATAGCACCTGCCTTTCCTGAGCCCATGAAGGTGGGGCTGATGGCACCAGCCCCCTACCCACAGTGCCCAGCGCAGCCGCCTGGCCCTCCTCCCTGTGCTTTGTCACTCCCCTCCTCCCTGATGCTTCCCAGACCCGCCTCCCAAACAGCCTCATGCATCCAGGGCTCCTTGTCTCTCTCAGAGTCAGTTTCGGGGACAGTCAAAGGAAGGAGTCCAATCCTTTGTGTTAACACAGTGGGGGTTCAACACGTTGCAATACAGAAAAGCAAGTGTTTTCCCTGATACTGGCTTCGAAGAACTTAAAAGAGGATAAAACAGACTAGGCGCGGTGGCTCACACCTGTAATTCCAGCACTTTGGGAGGCCCGGGTGGGTGGATCACAAGGTCAGGAGTTCGAGACCAGTCTGGCCAGTATGCTGAAACCCATCTCTACTAAAAATACAAAAATTAGCCGGGCGTGGTGGCGCATGCCTGTAATCCCAGCTACTCAGGATGCTGAGGCAGGATAATAGCTTGAACCCTGGAGGTGGAGGTTGCAGTGACCCAAGATTGCACCACTGCACTCTAGCCTGGAACAGAGCAAGACTCCATCTCAAAAAAAAAACAACACTAAATATGTCATTATTACAGACATAACTAAGGGCTTCCTGGGCCTCAGTGATACCAGGTGTGTGGCTGGCAACACCTGCGGCAAGTCTCCTCTGCTAGACCCCCTTTCCTGACTCCATGGCGGCCCCAGTGGGTGGGTATGCTCAGTGGGGAGGTGTCGCCCTGGAGACTACAGTGTCTTGAGCGCAGCAGGCCTGATGTGGGTTAAGTCAAGGACCAGGCCCCTCTGAGAATGTCCTCTGGGACTAGGATTCCATGTGGCATGATGAGCGTGATTACCAGCCATGGCCACTGGCTCCTGCAGGCCTTTCATGAGCCATGGTGTCTTCTGCCGTCAAAGGGCGACCGTAACTGCCGCCTGCTGTGGTTGAGAGAACCAAGTACACTGGAAAGGATGCGTCTACAGGATCTGAAACACGTCACTGAGTTTTGTTACAGTCAGTGGTAGGGCGGATCTGAGTTCCAGAGCATGGCTGACACACAGACCTTTCCTTGCATCAGTCTGTGCCGAAGTGTTTTTTTTTTTTTTTTTCTTTTGCCCACGTTACATCACTTCATAATTTACCACCTGTGTCGTGTGACTGTATATTTGGAACATTTCTTCACAAGTTTTAGACCATATTAAAGGAACACTGGCAGAACCCTGTTTCATTTCCCTTTCGTCTGTTCCCCTACACTGCCCTCCTGGTCCCCCTTGAGGAACTAGACGAGCGATTAGAACTGGCCAGAGGTCCTTGGAGGAACAACAGCGAAACAGAAGCATTAGTAGCATTGTCGTCCCCAGTCTAACACTTCTTGGGCCCCCAATGAGCAGACTTCCCTGTGGGCTGTTCATATCCTCATGCCCAGCTCAGTGGGCCTCGTGTCTGAGTCGTATTTGCCTGCTTTCCTTTGAGGTGGTGGGCGCCAAGGTTGTGACAAATGCCCGGAGTCCTGGAGCTCGCTGTTACGGTTTTGTCACGATGTCTACAGCAGAAGAGGCCACAAAATGCATTAACCACCTGCACAAGACGGAGCTCCACGGAAAGATGATCTCCGTGGAGAAAGTGAGTGGCCGTTTTCTTCCCAGGATATAGCCCACATTAGGAAACGCGGTAATACTTGCACTTGGTTGTCGTTTTCAGGCCAAAAATGAACCTGTGGGAAAGAAAACCTCTGACAAAAGAGACAGTGACGGGAAAAAGGAGAAGTCGAGCAACAGTGACAGGTACCTCTCCTCCCTGGCTACATTAAAGGGGCAGGGTGTTTTACACAGAATCTCGCTCTGTCGCCCAGGCTGGTGTGCAGTGGGAAGATCTCCGCTTACTGAACCTCCGCCTCCCTGGCTCAACGGATTCTCGTGCCTCAGCCTCCTGATTTGATGGGATTATAGCCACACCCATCTAATTTTTGCAGTTTTAGTAGAGACGGGGTTTTGCCATGTTGGCCAGGCTGGTCTGGAACTCCTGGTCTCATGTGATCCTCCCACCTCATCCCCACAAAGTGCTGGGAATACAGACATGAGCCACCACGCCCAGCTAATACGTCTGTTTTTTATAGATCTGCAAACCTTAAGAGGGATGATAAATGTGACAGAAAAGATGATGCTAAGAAGGGTGAAGACGGAAGTGGAGAAAAGAGTAAGGACCAAGATGATCAGAAACCTGGCCCCTCAGAGCGATCTCGAGCCACAAAGTCAGGTGGGCAGCTGATGAGCCCAGGATTCTGTCTTGTTTCTGTGCCTGGTGGGGTTTGTTATTCTGCTGTCATTAGCTGGCAACCCAAACTGGATTCATGTTGCGGAGGGTTTTTCTCATCTGGGTGTTCATGGTCTTCTACTTACACTTTCCCTGTCTTTTCCGTAGGAAGTCGAGGGACCGAGCGGACTGTAGTAATGGATAAATCCAAAGGGGTGCCTGTGATTAGTGTAAAAACATCTGGGTCCAAAGAGAGAGTGAGTATTAATTTTCTAACTAAGCTATTTTGTTCTTTTCAGTTTGTATTTGTGTGCGTCTTAGGGAATTACTAAGCTTCATCTGAAAAAAGCTTTTATCTGCTGTTTCAAAAATGTAGAGATCTCAAACTATTTTTTTTGAGACAGAGTCTTGCTCTGTTGCCCAGACTAGAGTGCAATGGTGCGATCTTGGGTCACTCCAACCTCCACCTCCCGGGCTCAAGCGATTCTCCTGCCTCAGCCTCCCGAGTAGCTGAGATTACAAGCGCACGCCATTTTTTTTTTTTTTTTTTTTTTTTTTTTTTTTTAGTAGAAACAAAGTTTCGACATGTTGGCCAGGCTGGCCTCGAACTCCTCACCTCAGGTGATCCATCTGCCTTGGCCTCCCAAAGTGCTGGGATTACAGGCATGAGCCACTGCGCCTGGCCTCAAATTATTTTAAGAAATGCAGAAAGTTTTCGTTTATCCTTACTTTTGCTCTAATAACTGTTACTTATTTTCTAAAACTAACTTTAAAATTCACATATGGGAGCAGTTGGCTTTTCCCTGTGTGGCATTCCATGTTCCCTGTCTACCCCGAAAGTGTCGTCACCTCCCCATGATGCATTCCTACACCCAGCAGTGTGGGGCATGCCATGGTGACCTGGCCCGTCTCCAGCCTCCTTGACCCCTTCCTGTACTCTTGTCTTCTTGCTGGGCTGCAGTGTGAGTTGGGCATGGTGGCTCATGCCTGTAATCCCAGCAGTTTGGTAGGCTGAGCTGGGAGGATCACTTAAGCCCAGGAGTTGGAGACCAGTTTGGGCAACCTAGTGAGACCCCATCTTCACAAGAAATTTAAAAATTAGGCAGGCTTGATGGTATGCATCTGTGGTCCCAGCTACTCAGAAGGCTGAGGTGGGAGAATGTCACTTAAATCTGGGAGGTCAAGGCCGCGTTCATTCCACTGCATCCTAACTTGGGAGAGAGTGAGACCTCATCTCAAAAAAAAAAACACCTATTATTTGCATGGTCTGTGCACACCAAGCCACCCTTACTGGTTAACTGTCAACTGGGGACACTCTGAGAGCTAACTTCCCAGTTGCCAGCCAAGGACAAGTCTTGCCAGCAGCCCCTCCTTAAGGAAGGGGAGGGACCTTGGACCTGCCGGGTCAACCCTCAGCTGCATGGAGGAGGAACCATTTCAGTTTGGTGAATGGAGCGGATTACTTGGGAGCTTTCAGTCTCTGTGTGCCAGTATTGTAATATGTCATAGTCTTTTATCCTTGTTCTATAAAACACCTTTGGAAAATGGAGAAAGGAAAGTGTGGGTTCTGGGGATAAAATGAGTAGGTCTCTTAAAAATGTAGTCGGCACAAATAAGGTACTTGTCAAGTGTATCAGAAGTGCTTCATTTGGGAACTCATTATGTGTTTAATTATGAAGGAAAAAGCAAAATTAAGGAATTTATTTTTGAAGCAAAAGACATAAAAAAGTGGTATTTTGATCTTTTTTTTTTTTTTTGAGACGGAGTCTCACTCTGTCGCCCAGGCTGGAGTGCAGTGGCCGGATCTCAGCTCACGCTCACTGTAAGCTCCGCCTCCCGGGTTGACGCCATTCTCCTGCCTCAGCCTCCCGAGTAGCTGGGACTACAGGTGCCTGCCACCTCACCCGGCTAGTTTTTTTTGTATTTTTTAGTAGA